AATAATTGGAGGCAAAGTTTTTAAAATATATGCGCCTGACAGCAACATATTTATCGCCAAATGACATTATTGACAAAGACAAGGAAGGGGGGGGCTGAAATGGTCATGTCTAGCTTATTAGCCGTCATCCGCCACCCATAACCAACCCCAAGTGCTGCTATCCCTGAGATTTTAACTCGCAACCTGAGAGTTAGAAGTCAAACGTACTAACAGTTGAGTCACGAGCTGCGTGCACTGGCGGTTGCGATCGAGTAGCTTAACACTGATAACGGGATCCTGACGGGCCGCGTTACGGAACACATTCGTTCCGTTGTACCGTGGGGATCAAATTCGAGTCCTGCCAACAGCTGCTCAGTGCCTATCATTATAGGCAGAATGACAATACCGACAAAGACAAGTGAGACTGGAATGACCAATGCTAGCGTAATGAGCCCCAAGGGACAACCGGAGGAGTGGACCGTAACGCGATCCGTGAGCGCCTCCCTACAATAGTTACCTAGTTACTTTCCACTGAACTGTCTTTGGACTGTAAAATAATGCCGGAAAAGCAGAAAGCAGTCGCACACCATCCTTGTCTGGTCAGACTTCGTCAAAAAGAAGTAAAGAGGCTTAGCCACGAGTAGACTCCCAGTTGAAGACAAACTCAGGACTATGACAGCCTTCACAAACCTGACGAACATATTGTACCAAGGTGGCAAGCATCCCGTCAAGAGAATGTAAGCTCAAAGCGGTATACTGTGGGTAATTTTATAAGAAACTTTGGCAAATATAGTTTAAGTAGTGAAACTTATATACCCCAAGTCCGGGACCGGTGTTATTAGGGGTTTTGAGGGTGGAGAAGTAGTAGACCAAATTGATTAGTGGTAAAACACACCCGTTTTATGATTCCAATCAATGCGGCATCGATGAGGCGGTGGAGAATTATGCTGGAATATAGTTTAATAATTACTTTATGCATTTAAGCTATTAATCCCACTAGTTCCTGGCCTGAAACAAACCTACCCATGCCTGCTTGTTTAAATTCTTCTTATTTATTAAATACTGCCCTTTGCTTTTTTCGATTTATGCGCCCTAATCCGTAGCTACATAGCGGCCGTGGTAAACAAATTCAACCCCATTTGACCACTTTACACTTAATTCTGCAAACTGACTTTACTGTCTATCCTATTTCTTCATCCACAAAACCCCTAACAACACAGTTCCCGTACGACAGAATGTTGGAGTTTGGGTTATATAAGGTCCACTACTTAAACTGCCTTTGCCGAAACTTTTTGTAGCTTACAGGACAGACAAAATTAAATCATGACGAACGAAAACCATCGCTAGCAGCATGAAAAAATACGATGACTTCTTACCTGACTCGCGCACTGAATTTTAGTAAAATTTTTATGTTTAAAAGCCTATCGCCAAAAGCTCTGATTTACTATAAATTCCCCAATTTTAGTCCGTCTTTTCTTAGGAGTTTTAAGTAGAACGTACGTTCCATTCTGGATTTAAAAAATCTGATTTCGAAAAACACGTGCAGGCTCACTAAGGTCCTTCACTTTTTAATATTCAGGCAGTCCCTCTGATAGCGAATAGTGTCACGTCCCCAATAAAATTAATTAACGAAAAAAACTGCACTTTCTGCCCTTTTTTACGAGCAGTACTTTAAAAAAAAATGTGTTTTTGCTTCAAAAACCTTGTTAAAATCGGCAAAACGTGGATGGCACAAACTGAAAATGTTACCAGTTTCGTTTTTATCTGAGTATTAAAGAGGCATTAACGAGCAGCATATAAACGAGAATAGGATGGATAGCTTACGAACCGAAAAGGTCAAAGACCAGTCAGAAGGGGAGGAGGGCAGGGAGGTGGTAGTGACCTCCGAAACACTGAACTCACCTTCTCCTTATAAATAAGTCATGCTCCTGAGGCAACATAAGCGTAGACGCACAGTAATTAGGTAGACAGAAGCGATCGACTCGGCGCTTGTG